CACGGAGGCTGCCGGGGCCGGCCCCAGCAGCGGGGACACTCGCTCCCGCTCCCCGTCCCGCTGCCGCTCCCGGTCCCGCTCCGGATCCCGCTCCCGGTCCCGCTTCGGATCCCGCTCCAGTTCTCGCTCCCGGTCCCGCTCCGGATCCCGCTGCCGCTCCCGTTCCCGCTCCGGATCCCGCTGCCGCTCCCGTTCCCGCTCCGTATCCCGCTGCCGTTCCCGCTCCGGATCCCGCTCCCGGTCCTCGCCGGCCCGACCCGCGCCGCGACCACCAGAGGGCGCCACAGACCTCCCGGTGGCCCCGGGGCGGCCCCACGCGGGACGGCGGCCCCGCGGGCACGTGCACACGTGTGTGTGCGGAGGGGGGGGGGGGAGCTGCCCCTCCACGAGCGCGCAGCTTCCCACAAGCTGCCCCGCAGTGGCGTGTTCCTGCCTCTCCCCGTGGGTGTCTCAGCCGTGGGTGCGTTTCAGGTGTGTGCGCGTGTCTCAGCCATGTGTGCGTGCCTCAGCGCGTGTGCACACGTCTGACGTGTGCACGTCTCTCAGATCTGTGAGCATGTCTCAGACATGCACTTGTGTCTCAGATGTGCATGCACGTCAGACGTGTGTGTCTCAGCCATGTGCATGCATATCTCAGATGTGTGTGCATGTCTCAGATGTGTACATGGATGTCTCAGATGTGTGCACGCGTGTCTCAGCCATGTGCACGCATGTCAGCCATCTGTGCGCATCTCAGCCATGTGCACATGTGTATTGCACGCGTGCGTTCATGTCTTAGATGTGTGCATGCATGTCTTGGATGTGTGCATGCATGGCAGCCACTTGCATACATGTCTCAGCCATGTGCGTGCATCTCAGCTGTGTGCATGTGTCTTGGCTGTGTGCACGTGTGCCTCAGCCATGTGTTCCCCTGCTCGGCGCAGCCCGTCCCCACCAGGATCTTTGTCACAATGAAGGAAGAGACTATTATGTTTATTAAATTGTATCAAGGCAGCATTACAGCAATTGGCAGCTGGTGACCCCGGCTATTTATAAAACAGGCTTTGGAAATCACAGCTCTGGGCTTGGGCTTTTCTTCAGAGAATTATGGAAAAAAAAAATCAATATTGGGGGCCGGGGCCAAGTTGGTGGTTAATTGCAGGGTCGGTGCCAGGAAATGCTTCCTGGCACGACAGCAGTCATGGAAAAGCTGACCTGCCCCCCCCCCAAGACCCCCAACCCCAGCCCCTGCCCCCCGCAGCCGTGGGGGACAGTGGTGGGAACGCCCCCCCCCTTCTTAAAACCCCGCACGCTGCCCGGGCCACCGGCCCCAGCACCAAGGAGGGCCAAGGGAGAGAGGCTCCTTCCTCGTATTGGGGTGCTGGCTCCCTGAGCTGTTGGGGATGCGGAAGGGGGTCACCTCATCCTCCTCTTGCGTTAATGGGGGGAGTGGGGGGGGTGGGTCAGAGTCTCGGGGTGTTAGGCTGGTGCCTGTCCATCCCCCCCTTTCATCCTGCAGCAGTTGTGGGTCAGAGAGCGGCTCTCTTGGTGCTCATCACACAGCGTCCCGTGATTAATGGGGGGAATTAGGATGATAATAGCCCTTTAAATGAAGGTGCCAGTTACAAATGACATGTGCCCGTGCTCTGTGATGGATGGTGCCAGGGTGCTGGTAGGCAGGCGTGATCAGAGGCACATTATGGCCAGGGCAGAAGCAAGGAGGGGACTGTGATGTCATAGCGATTGGTGACATCATGGGGTGGGCATGACATCACAAACTAACTCAAAGTGAGGGGATGTGGGACAATCCCAGCGCCGTGTGCGCACAATGATCTGGCAGGGAGGAAGGGCCGGGGCTGCTCCATTAAGTGGCTGTGCAAGTCATCACAACATGTCACGATAGTGCTGGCACGGGATGCCTTTCACAGAACTGCCAGCGCTGCCCAGTCTCACCAGTCCCTGTGGGGCCACTTGTGCTCCCCAGTATGGGTGTGCTGGGGCTGGGGTGAGGGGGCCCAGGCAGCAGCCCTGAGGGGCCAAGAGCACCCTGCTTTCCCTACCAGGCAGCAGGTCCTCCCAGGACCCAGCCCCTTCACCCCATGCTGGGGTTCATCCCGCAGCGCAGCTCTGTGGGGCTATGAAATATATCCTGTTAATTCACCATTTAATTATTAGCTGTTTGTTTATTGTTTGTTTGCTTTAGTTGGTATGAATTTTTTATGACGGTTTCCATTGTGCCCTGCCAAAAGCCAGTGAGATTTACAGCTTCGGCATGAGCAGACCCTTAACGAGGGAAAGGTCCCCGTTAGCAGCAAGGGATGACCCTGTGTCACCATCAATGGGGGGGGGGGGGGGGGGGGGGGAGGCAGCACAACCAGCGAGTGCCAGCTGTGGGGCCAGGGTTGCAGTGGGGAGGCTGTGAACTGTGGGGCAGTGGCCCATGCAGTGGGGGATTGCGTGGAGCTGGGAGGCTGGTTGGGTGGCTGGGGGGGCTGTGTGGGGCCAGGGGGGCTGAGTGCCAAGGCTAGGAGCCAGAGGAAACAGCATGCTCAGGTGCAGGCACGTTCAGCCCCAAGCTGCAGCATCTCCCATTAATGAAGCACTTCATCACCGCAGTGTTGCTGGGGGGGGGGGGCACCCAATTCGGAATGATAAATTCCCCGCGACGGCCCTGCACTCGCTCGCAGCAGCCGTGATTCTCCTTCATCTTGAATAATATTTTTGGAGTGGTTGTAAAATAACCCGCCACAGCAGCTGGGAGTGGAGACGCAAAGGCCCAGCGGCTCTCTCCAGCCCCCCCCCCCCCCATTTGTCTCTGCAGCTCCCACCCTGCAGCACACGTGTGTGTGTGTGTGTGTGTGCACCTAGCCACACGTGTTTATGTGTGTGCACATGTGCAAGCCTGCGACTGCTTATAAAGGCATGTGTATGTCCAAGTGTCCACACACATCTGTTCCCGAGGTCAGCTGCTGTAATTATTTTCTCTCTAGGAAGTATTTGTGGGCTGTCTTGTTCTTCCCCAAAAGCCATCAGATCTGCGTGGTGCCAGGCAGGGGCAGCCATGAAGAAGAAGCTCCAGCAGTGTCTCTTTGCTGGTGTTTATTGTGTCTCCACTGGGCGAGTCGAGAACAGGCTGGAGCCCTCCTCAGCACTTCGCAGGGCTGAGCCCCCGTGGGGCAGCGGGCAGCCACCCCAGGAGGGCTCCTGAGCAGCAGGGCACATGCTGTAATCACCACGGAAGAGGGAAGCCACGGCACAGAATTAAACTGTCTCTTAATTACAATCATTAATGAGCACGGAGGCAGCTGGGCTTTGTGGGCAGGGAATCCCGCTGCATCTCTAGGGGAAGTCCTGGGCTTGTCTGCAGGGAATTCCGAGCTTGCTCTGGGCCTGGGGGCAGAGATGCGGGTTGCTCCAGAGCAGACCTCGCTGTGATGGGACCGAGACCCCCCCGCCTCAGATGTCCTGGGCTCCTGACACTGCTGGATGCCCTCTTAGGATCCCTGCTCAGTGCGTCGGTGCTGTGCTCCAAAGGGGTTATGGCACTGCACAAGCCCCACTCCTTACACGCATGTGCATACTCACATGCCCCGTGAACCCCTCCCACAAGCCTCTGTTGTGACCCTACCCCCCCCCCCCAATGCACCACACTATTGCCCCTGTGCCACAGCACCCGTTGGCAGAGTAACACAGCGAAGGACACGCGCCTGCCTGTGCTGAGGGCAGGATGCACTCTGTCTTGGGGAGTGGCACTTAATCAATCCCATTTCAAAACTCTAATTATATCAACAAAGGCCTCAACACGGCGCTGCTGGCTGCAATTCAGGCCTTGTTTATTTATTTCCACACACTCCAGAGAAGTTTCTCTCCTTTGTCCTTTTATACTTTGCTGAAAGAAATGAGGTTGGAAATGAGTGGCACCCACAGGGCTGCTCTGTGCCGGGCGGAGGGTGCTGAGGTGGGGAGGGAGGCTGGAGTGCTGGGCTGGGGGGGCAGCAGTGGTGTTCTGGGTGTGTGTGTGAGAGTGGAGGCTCCCTGGGGGTGTTCTAAGCCAAAACTGCAAAGTTCGGGGCTTACAGGTCAGCAGTAAAAAGACTTGCCAGAGCTCTTGTGTGCATGTGTGCATGCACGCATGTGTAGGACTGTTCCTGTGCAAGTGCCTGCTGCCATGTCAGCATGTATGTTGTCTACCTGTGCATGCATGTGTGCATGTATGTATGCATCTGCATGAGCAAAGACTGGTCTACTGAGGCGCACTGGCTTCTGGCTGCGAGCCCTCAGTGGAAGGGGCGTGTGACAGGGACTGACCTGTGCCTGTCAGGTGTGTGACACTGCCACCATTGTACACCATGCCACCACGCTCTGCCCCCAGCTGCCCCTCCACACACGGGCTGCACTGGCTCTTGCCACTCCCAGACCATGACCAGCCCCCCCCCCCCTCGAAAAGGGCTGGGGAGACTCAGTCACTCCTCAGTTCCAAGCTGCTGCTTTCGGCTGCCTACTCCGTCCATCTCCCCAGTCTTTTGTTAAGAGCCAGTGGATACAAATAGCTGGTTTCCATATGCACAGCAGCATCTGTTACTGCCAGGGAGATTTGCATTGCTAAATGTAAATTGGGTGTTATATCATTTATCATAAATGGGAGGGTGGAGGGGGGCGCTGAGGGGAGGCAGCAAACATCGGTGAAGTTGTCATAACAAATCACACGACTCATCGTTCGCCCTGGCAGGAAGGTGCAAATCAACCTGTGAAGGATTTGCACATGGAGGGAAAGGGCTGGCCCCTTTTACAGAGAGAGACACTGAGGCACGAATGTGGTCTGTCTAGGGTGCAGCAGCACACAGGGACCTCAGGCATCCAAACCCAAAGCTCATCATTAACCCAGTCACTGGGGCTCACTACAGGAGAGGCTGGAAGGGGCAGAGGACCTGATCCTCAGCCTCCCCCTCCCAGCTTGCAGTGTCCCTGGGCCGGGTTCCCCATCCCGTCCCGCCCCGTCCCTCCCAGCCCTGCCACAGACGCCTCCCTCACATCTCCTGCCCACCCTTCATCCTCAGACGGCTCGCGGGGACCTGCCATCGCAGCCGGACCTTCCCCATACCCTCACCATGAAGGGCCCCCTGCTCGGAGGCATGTTCTCCCGGCATGTCAAGAGGCACCCCGGAGTGAGTCACCCCACACCCTCCCTCTCCAGCGACCCCATCCCCCCGTTCCTCCCCATTCTTCTTCATCCCTCTGCCCCTCTCCTCTTCCCAGGGACCTCCCGCAGCTCCTGTCCCTCCTTCCCACCCCCCTTCCCCCCATTCCTCCTGCCCTCCTCTGCCCTTTATGCCCTTCACCAGCCCCTTCTTCCTCCCACTCCCCAAATCCCTTCTCAGCCTCCCGGTCCAGCTCCTCTGCCCTCCTCTTGCCTTCCCAGGCTGTCCCTGCTTGCCAGCTTCCCTTTCATGCTGTCCTGATTTTCGCAGCATCTTCCAGGTAAGCCAGGCGGTCCTGGCGGTCCCCAGCCCTCCTTTACTGAGGAGAGGTGAGACCACCCTGCTGACCCTCCCATCCAGTGCCACCGAGGGCCCAGGGCTCCTTTGCTGAGCTGGGCTGGGCTTTGGGCATGTCGACTCTTACACATGCACAGCCTTACTTACCCTGACAGGCACGCCTGCCAGCCGCTGCTTGGGTGAAGGGTGCTGCTCCGTGCCCTCCCCCCCAGCTACACCCTGCTCCAGGGGCATCTTGAGGGACGGGGAGGGAGATGGAAATCAAGACCTTTCTCCACTTTCCCTGGCAGCTCCAGGTTTGAAGTGCCAACTCCCATCCTTTCAGCTCAGATCCGTCCCTGTCCCCTGCCATCGAAATTTCAAGCTGAGGGTTTTGTGTACAAAGATGCTTCAACCCTCATAAAATACAGACCCTCCGAGACAGTGGCAGCTGTGCCAGTGCCCCTGCCCTGCCAGGATGGGCTTCTTTTGCTACTGGGCTGGATCCCCTCCTGCAGCAGAGACCTAGCCCTTGTCAGAAGGTCCCCAGCCCTCGCCCTCCCCTCTCCCTACTGCCCAGTGCCCTTCCTGGGGACCCGGCAGGAGCTGGTGGCCTGGGGAGGGTTTGTGAGCTGCAAGCGCCGGGCTGCGAGTCACGTAAGCTGTTGGCAGTTGGGTTTGGGGCGGGTAGAGCGGCCAGGCTGGAAAGGATGATGAGCCGTGGCTGAGAGTCCAGACGCCTGGCTCGCACAGCGGAGGGGAGTCCAGGACTGGAGCAGGAGGTGCCCTGGGGCTGGGATCTTCCAGGGAAAGGCGGGTGCCTGCGTGCTGCCAGCACGGAGGGCACAGGCGGCCAGGATGCCTCTGCTCTGAGACAGCGGGCGATGGACAGCACAGGCCAGGGCTCCTGCACTATCTTCACATCACTGCTGCATGTTTCTGTGTGGAGAACGGTGGGATTTGGGGCTTTTCTGTTCATGTCCACCACCGTTTCCCCAGCTGTCAGAGGACTGTGTACGACTTGGAGGGCACAGAGAAGCCCCCAAACAGTACACGTAAGGGGGGATTGGTCCTGCGTGCCTGTATATGAAGTACCTGGCATGCACCTAGTGCCATTAAGCAGGATTATTGCCAGTAGAGGTTGCTGGGGCAATTTTTGAAGTGTCATCCATTACACGTGATCACCTGCAGCACGTGCCAGGCAGGTACATCAGCACTTTCACCTGGCAATAAATGCTCTCACCACAGCATGCCGGGCTGCCTGCCCAGCTGGCAGTGATTAATGTCCTGGTGATTAATGTCCCGGTGAGCACCGTGGTGGTGAAGTGCCATGGTGGTGAAGTGCAGGAGCTTTGGCAGGACAAGAACCCGCCTGGCATGGCGGGCCAGGGGCTGCACAGCTCAGCCAGAGCTTTTCAGGCACTGGTCCCACCATGACCCATCCCAAAGCGTGGTCCTGCTGCTGGAGGGGATGCTCATCCACCCCCTGGCATGAGGCACTTGTCCCACCCAGTCCAGGGCACAGGGGGCACGGGGCCCCTGCCTCACCCAGCACCTTCACGTGTTTGTTTTCTCCTTCCTGCTATTTTTGTAGCCAGAGCAGTAGGAACGGGGCCAGATCCTCACTCTGGCAGAGCTGACACTGGCTCACTGCTGGGCCACTTGGAAATGCTGGGTAGTGTCTGGGGCTGCAGCCAGCCTGCGGCAGGGACCAGCCATGCCTGGCCAGGGGGCTCAGCCCCACTGCTGGCAGAGACGGGGGTCCCAGGGAGCAGGGCGGCACCTGCCTCACTCCCAACAGGTCCCCACAGTTTGGGTTAAAGGGCAAACGCTGCACGCACACAAGCAGCATTTTAAGTTTCCATATGCTTAAGGTCAAACTTTCAATACGTCTTGTTTATTTTTGTGCATGTCTTGGAGGGGATCAGGCCCCACTACCTGCACCTGCAGCTCCAGAGCCCCTTACCTGCTGCCTGAAGCAGTTCCCCTAGCTCCCCCTACCCTTAATTCTTCCCAGGCATTAATTACCCAGAAGGTGTCAGCAGCAGATGGTGAGACGAACCCGTCGCCCCAAATTTCCTCCAACAGACACCACAATTCCAGGCACTGTGGAGTTTGTCTTGATTAGCCGGCGCAGTTGGGTAGCGGCTACTGCCAGATCCTCTTGGCACCCAGCCGCACACGGCGCAAAAGATCATTATCTGCTGATGCCTCTAACCTTCCGAATTGGCGCTGGCATCTGCTGGGCGCTTGATCAGCCGGCGTGAGCACAGAGTGCTGCTTGGCTTGGCTATGGGTGCTGCTGAGCAGAAGCTGGGCCATGCTGGGGGCACTGGGAGAGGACTGGATGGCATCCAGCCGGGGACTGAAGGCTGGGCAAGGAGCACTTGGGGAGGGGGACGCATCTGACTGCCCACGTGTGTTCCCTACAAGCCCACCTCCCCGTGCAGGTCATTGAGGTGCTTGGCAGAGAATAGAGGGGTTCGGACAGACACTTTTCTTCATGTTTTAGGGTTGTTTCCCCCCAGTCTCATCCAGGTGGGGAAACTGAGTCACCATGTAGTGGGTGGTCGGGTGGGGGGGCGTTCAGAAACGCTTGCTAAGAGCTCAAGCTGCTAAGCAGAACTACAGATATAACCCAGGCGCTCAGGTAGCAGCAATGCAAACTGCACGGTGCGCATGGCTCTTGCAGCACCGCTGGCCCCCGCTCCCCGCTCTGAACTAATGGGCACCGCGAGGCGCCGGCTGTGTTTGCCTTCCCAGGGGCACAGGTTGGCGAGAGGTTCATTATGCTCAGACTGTCTTCCCCCGGCACGGGGCCGCGGCAATTTGGGGGAGGTCAAAGCAGCCTCATCTCGGCTCCGATTGAGGCCGCGTCCCCTCGGGCACTGGGGGATTGGCAGCGTGAGCGGCGGAGGGAGCGGAGATGAGAAGATGGAGCTGGTCGCCCTGCAAAGGCACGATGAAAGCCCCTGTGTGCACAGAGCGGGACGAAGGGACCTCCTTCTCACAGGAGCGTCTGCTGTGGGGCTGAGGCAGGTCCTGGGAGGGGTGCTGAGTGACCCCCCCCCACACACACACTCTGTGCTGTCACTGCATCCCCAAGCCCTGCCCTGGACCCAGCTGCTTGGCCGCTGGCACGATGCCCAGCCCCAGTCTGTCCCCGCTGTGGGTGCAGGAGAAGATGAACTAAACCTTCTTCATCTCATGGTTCACAGGGTGATGGTGTGGAAGGGGTGCAGGGCCGTGGAGGGGCAGGTGCAGGGGGACAGAGACCCTGCCCGAATGGAGCAGCATGGCCTGGGGCCAAACCCTGCCCAGGCTTCAGCCCTGCACTAGGCAGGGACTAGTCCCTCAAGGAGGAATGGCTAGCCAAGGCTCACCAGCCTGACCAGGGGCACCATCCGCAGCAGGAGCAGGGCCCCTGGGCCCTCACCCATGGCCGCAGCAGCCAGCACTGGCGCCGGGCATCAGCAAGTGGAGGGGAAGTGATTTCTCATTCCAAATCCAATTCCTCTCCAACACGAGCCGATTTTTCTCTCCCTCTTTTAATTCAGTCACTCAAGCTGACAGCTACACTGTGTACTGCAGCCCAGCTACAGGATTGCTCTGCCATATTTCCCCTGTAAATCTCCCGGTGTGTCAGCTCTCCCTTTCACTCTCCAGTCGGCCTGATAAATATTCATTTTATTGGGGTATTTTTCATTTTTCTCTCTCTCTCTCTCTGCAGCTCATTCCACTCATTGGCTTCATCAGTGTTGGCCTGGGCAGTGCCGTCCTGTACTTGCTAAGGCTGGCCCTGTACAGCCCGGATGTCAGGTATGGGTTGGAGTGCCCCTGGACACCCCTCGGCACTTGCCCCGTGCCCCTGGAGCTGGGGGTCAGGTGCTCAGGTGTGGTGGGTGGGTGCTGGGGTGCACAGGGTGCCTGGACACGCTCTGACGCCTTCATGGCAAGGGCTGGGGAAGAGGGTAAACCTGGGTGCAGAGGTGCCCGGAGTGGGTGAAGGAAGCTGGGGCACCATCTGCCCTCTCCTTACTTGGGGAGGGCGAGGGACATGACAAGGGCCCCTTCAGCCCGCTGGTCTGGGACTGCACCAGCTGCTGTGAGACTGGCAGAGGGCAGGAGAGAGACGCAGGGGGGTTATGGCAGTGGGACCAGGATGGATGGGAGGATGGCAAGGCAGATAAAACCAGTATGTGACTGATGGAGAGGGGGAAAGGCTGTGGGAAGGGATGGGATGACAGAGGAATGGGAAACTGTTGCGATGGACAGTTGGAGAAGGAATGGGGAGAGAGAGAGGGAGGGATGGACAGACATAAAAACAGCGTGCAAGGATGAATGGAGAGGGAGAGAAGGGAGAGGGAGATGAGGTGTGAGGATGGATTGATGAGGAATAGAGGGTGGATGGATTGGCACAGGACAGACAGGCATGCTGTGGTGCACGAGGCTGTTTTGTTTTTTGGGTTTTTGTTTTTGTTTTTTTTTTTTTTTTTCCCTTGTAGCTCAGTGGCCCACGGTCCCTGCAGCCCCATGCTGTCTAATGCCTATCTAATATTTGTTTGCTCCTGGTAAAACGCTCATTGATTTAATTTGACGCCAGCTGCCCAGGGTACTTAGCTCAGCAATTAGCAGATCCAGGCACCTTGTCTTTGATGGTGGAAGCGCAGGGGTGTGCATGTGTGTGTGTGAGGGGGGAATAAAACAGCAGCAGCATCCCCACAGCACATTAATGCTATTAAACAGCTCCAGGGGTCTGTATTTGCAGCACAGACCCCCCTCCAGCTCCCAACGTGCACGCACACACACACGCATGCTCACGCAGCTTCCCAGATGGAAAATGCTGCTCTTGGCCAACACCAGCGGATTGCAGGGGAATGAGAGAAGGGGAGACGTGAGTTGCTTTCTCCAGGGACCCATCCCACGGCTTTGCTGGCCTTCCACAACCCCTCCTGGGACAGGATGGGATGTGGCCTCTTCGGGAATGCTTCATCTGACCAACAGCAGCCACCCCGTGCAGTTGCCTTGCACACTCACCAGCATTGCACGCTCAGGAGTGCCGCACATGGCTGCTGGGTCCCTGCTTGCTCCCGGCAGGTGTGCACAGCTGGGCAGGCAGCAGCTTCCCTCCTCGTTCTGCCACCAAACAGCGAGTTTGGGAAAGGGAAGCGGGGGCAGAGCAGCCAAGGCCTGAAGGCAGGCTGCCCCTCGGGTAGGGGTGCAGCAGGGCAGTCCATGCAGAGGTGCCGGCTGGGGGGACCAGGGCGGGAGGGCAGGCAGACGTGCACCACTGCACATCCAGCCGATGAGGTGGCCCGCGGGCTGGGGCAGCAGCCAGGTTGTGGTTTGGGTGAGTCAGGCCGTGGCCATGGCACAAGCCTGGGCAGGGATGCTCTGGGAGCAGCTCCACAGGGAGCCTGCCCGGCCCCCCACCCCAGGGGGCTTGGAGGGACCTGGTTAGAGCCCCCCAGCCTGCCAACCGCAGCAGAGCTGGGGAGTGTGAGTCTGATGGCATCAGGGATTATTTCTGCAGAAAACCAGGGCTGGGGGCACTAGTGGGGGTAAAATGGGGGGGGGGGAGGGCGGGGGGGCACCTGTCTCCCCCACCTTCCTTACAGGTGCTGATGGCCCCATCACCCCTTGCAGCTGGGATCGAAAAAATAATCCTGAACCCTGGAATAAGCTGAGCCCCACGGACCAGTATAAAGTAAGCACTTGGGAGAACCAGGGACCTGGCCCTCTGGGGAGGGGGAATTTAGGGCAAGCCATCATGTTTTCCTCGGGGAAGGGGGAGAGGTGGCATCAGCCCTGGGGCAGAGGTGCGTGAGCCCTCCAGCTCCTTGTGTTCAGATCTGGGGAGGGGAGTGCTGTACCCCCACCCTACAGCCAGGCTGCAGTGACAGCCACGGGGAACATGACCCCCTCTCACATCCCTCCCTTCTCCAGTTTCTGGCAGTTTCCACCGACTACAAGAGCCTCAAGAAAGACCGTCCCAGTTTCTGAGCTGACCCCAGGACGTGCTGGGGCAGGGGAGAGGGCACCCAACCCCCCAGCAGCACCGCCACTGCCCCTGCCAGCCCTCCTGGCTCTCACCTGTCCCACAGCTCTGCAAGTCACCGCACACACAGGTCTGACTGCTTCCCCAGCACACCCAAACCCTGGGGCTGTGCCCCCCCCCCCCCCCCCAATAAACCACACCATTTGGAGCAATATGACCACTGCTTCCAGCACCCCTGCGCCCTCCCGCCCCGCCTGGCACACGGCTCTTGCCATCATGCCTCACCTGCATTAAACTCATAGGGCAGTAATTATTGTGGGTGGGGAAGCAGCAAAATAGATTATGTATGCTGTTTCCCAGGCCCATAAATGTAGGAAACATTCAACACCCCTTGATGAAGGCTGGGGTGGGGTCTCACGTTCCACTGGAAGCAGCAGTTCATGACCCCTTGGCGCCGCGTTTCCGCTCTCCCACGCTCCAGGGCCCATGGGGCTGCTGAGGGACCACCCCGGGCTTGACCCAGCCCTTCTGGAGAGAAAAAGAGCCCTGTGGAGCAGAGAGGGTCACGCACACACGTGCACGTGGATGCATGTGCGTGTCCCACATGTGTGCACAGCTCCTGCTCTCCCAGGGTTATGTGCCATGGGGCAGGGGGCCAGCTTTGCCAGAGGCAGAGCTGTGCCTGGTGCTGTTTTGGTTTAGCTAAAGCTCTGTGGGAGAACTTGCAGCTGGTAATGCAGGGCAGAGGACCTAGGACAGTGGGATGGGCCAGGGAACAGACAGCGGCCAGGAGGGGAGCAAGGGGGTTGTGCAGCACCTCTGCACGCAGCAGCAGGAGCACAGCAGGGAGGGGAGCCTGGACCACAGCCCCCCCAGCGCACCCATCTTGCTCAGGGGCTCAGTGTAACCCCCTGCTTCCCCCCTGCCCTCAGAGCCCACCGAGTGAAGTGCCGGGGGGGGAGGAGAAGGGGTGAGGACACCGAGGCATGACTGTGGCCAGTGGGACCCAGGGGTCTGTGACCCACATCCACCACAGCAACTGGGCACAGTGCCGAGGGGCCCTGGGGACACTGTCCCCTACAGCACCTTGTCACTGACCTCTCCTTGCCCAGCTCAGCATCCACACACCTCCGTACTGGCAGGCTCTGCCCCCCACTTTTATTAGCAACGCCCACCTTGTAAAAAAGTGCAATACTCGCTTAGACAGAGGGGATGAGGCTGGAGCAAAGGCTGGTCCCTCTCCCCATCAGGGTCTGGGGGGAGGGGGGTGTCTCTGTACCCTAACACTGAGAGCAGGGGTGGGCCGCTCCCAGCCCAAAGGTGCTGGTAGGGGACGAAGGGGAGTAGGGAATGCAGAGGGTGGTTTTAAGTCTCCTCTTGCCCCCAGGTAGTCCTGGCCCAGCAGGATGGGCAAGAGCCCCGGCTCAGTGGTCACTGAAGCCAGGCATGGGGAAGGCACGAGCAAAGGTCTCCACGCGCTGGCGCAGGTCAGCCACGCGACACTGCGTCTCCGCATCCTGCAGCAAGAAGGTCTTGAACTCCTGGAGCTTGCCTGGGGGTGAAGGGGGAGCCAGTAAGAGGGGGGGACACATTACAGCAGCCCTGTCCCTGCCCAGACAAGGGGGTAGGCTGGCACCAGCTCGGGGTGCAGTCCCTCCACCCCAGAGTTGCCAACTGGCACCCAGGAAGTAGGGAGATGGGGTCCCCTGCTCACTCACTGGTTTTGCTCTTGACGTCCAGGGCCAGCGCAATGCCCTCGTCGATGAAAGCCACAACTTTCCGGAAATCCTCCTCGCAGAAGTGGCGGGAGGTCAGCGCGGGGGCACCTGGGGGGGGATAGAGACCGTCAGGGCCAGCAGCTGCTCAGGAGCACCATCTGAAGAAGTCAATACCACCAAGGGGATCCCCAAGTACCAGCCCCCATGGGGTCCTGTGCCCCTCTCTGAGCCAGAAACTGGCTCCAAATTCCCTGCGTGAAGTCCTCAGAGAGGGGAAAAACAGAGACGGGATGCCCTGGGGTAAAAGCCTGGGGATTCCCCCTCCAGGGAAAGGTCTAAAAGGAGGCAGGAAGACCCCCCTGAGCAGGGCCCGTCCCTCACCCAGGCGCAGCCCCCCTGGCGTGAGTGCACTCTTGTCCCCTGGGCATGTGTTCTTGTTGGCAGTGATGGAGACAAGCTCCAGCACCCGCTCAGCCCGTGCACCATCGATGCCCTTGGGCCGCAGGTCCACCAGCACCAGATGGTTGTCGGTGCCACCTGGGGAGAAATGGAAAAGGGTGAGGAGCAACAGCCAGCCCAGAGCAACCCCAGCCACCCCCCTCTCCTCACTGCCACATCCCAGCCCCTTCCCCACTCTGCAGTGCTGCCCCTGTTCTGCCTTGCACCCCCCCCTCCTCTGACCCCCAACCTGTCCACGCTCCCCACTGCTGCCTAGGGGCACTGAGAATGAGCAGTGCCACTTCTCACCTACCACAACCTTGTCCTTTCTTGTCCCCAAAAGCGCAGGGAAGGAGGCATTACCTGACACCAGGGTGTACCCGCGCTGGAGCAGGGCCTGCGCCATGGCTTTGGCATTCTTCAGGACCTGCTGGCAGTACTGGTGGAAAGCTGGCGAGCTGGCCTGGGAGGGGAGACCACATCAGTGCATGGCCCGGGTTGCCCCCAGCCCTGAGCCCACCGTGGTGGCACAAACCTGTTTGAGGGCCACAGCCACGGCAGCGATGGCGTGGTTGTGGGGCCCCCCTTGCAAGGAGGGGAAGACAGCAAAGTTGATCCTGTCCTCCAGGTCATAGAGCGTCTCCTTGCCTGTCTTCTTATCCACGGAGCGCACGCCCTTGCGGTAGAAGATCAGTCCTGACCTGGCAGTGAGAGAGAGCTGGTACCGCTCCTCTCACTTGCCATCACCCCACAGCAGGGGCTTGGCCTCCCCGCACCACAGGGCAGCGCCAACACCGCTAACCACCCTCCCTTGGGTCCCTCCTGCTCAGCTCTGGCCCCCAGCCATGAAACGCAACCTCTGCTTCACGCTCCCCTGCCATGGAAATGGGTGGCAGGACGCAGCCTCACCTGGCACCGCGCAGGGTCTTGTGCGTGGTGCTGGTGACCAGGTCCGCGTGCTCGAAGGGCGAAGGGATGGCCTTGGCTGCTACCAGCCCGCTGATGTGCGCCATGTCCGCCAGCAGGTACGCTTTCACCTCCTCGCACACCTGGGGACACGGGCAGTCACAGGTTGTCCCTGTCCCCATGGCCATGAACGGGGCGTGAACTGCCCTCGCTCTGCTTCCCTGTACCTTCTTCATGCGAGCATAATCGATGAGGCGGGCGTACGCGCTGGTGCCGGCGATGATGAGACGAGGACGGAAGAGCCGCGCTGTCACCTCCAGCTGGTTGTAGTCAATCAGCCCTGTGGCTGGCTGTGAGGGACGGACAGACAGACAGTTGGTGGAAGGAGGCACATGTACCACCCTGCGCCCAGCACGTCTGGCTGAACCACAGGCAGATCCCAAGCACCCCGTGGCACCAGGACGTGCTTGGGACACCGGGAGGGTAGGACAGGGGATGGCAGGGCAGCTCGGGCACCGCAGGGGCACCACCGCGATCAGCAGATCCCCCTTTCCCCAAGGAACCTGCCCCCCTCAGCTCACGTCAAGTTTGTAGGGCATCGACTCGAAGAAGATGGAAGTTGCTGAGATTCTCTTGATGTCCGACATGTATCCGTGTGTGAGGCTGCAGGGGAAGGCAGAGGCACGGGATCAGGCTGGGCACCCCAGGAGGCAGCAGGCTCCAGGCTGCCCTACCCTGCTACGTACTGGCCCCCATCAGGCAGGTCCAGCCCCATCAGGCGGTCGTGGGGCTGCAGCAGGGCTGTGTAGGCTGCGAAGTTGGCTGGAGACCCCGAGTAGGGCTGAACGTTGACGCCCCAGCGGGCAGGATCCAGGTCAAATGCCTCCAGAGCCCGCTGCTCGCACAGCAGCTCGATTTGGTCCACCACCTCGGCTCCCCCGTAGTACCTGGGGGAGAAGGGAGGTGGTTACAGGGGGCCTTCCCCCTGCCCCCCAGCCGACCTTGGTGGAGAGGACAGCCTCCCCTTGGAAGCACACACTCCTGCTCTGAGGCTCCACTTAACCTTTCCTGCAGCCGAATCCTGGCTGCGGGAGGACTCCTGATGCCCCTGGTGCCCTCCCACCCCCCAGAGCCTGCTCCCCGCCCTTACCTCTTGCCAGGGTACCCCTCCGAGTACTTGTTGTTAAGGCAGGAGCCCAGGGCCTCCAGTGCTGCCCGGCTGCAGAAATTCTGGAGGAAAAGGGGGGTCAGAGACAGGGCAGCAGGGCTCCCACCTGAGCAGGGGTGCCCCAGAACCGTCACCAACCCCTGTCCCAAGCACCCTGTCCCTCACCTCAGAGGCAATGAGCTCCAGCCCCCGGCACTGCCGATCCTTCTCCTTCTGGACCAGAGTCCACATCTCGGGGTCGCTCTCGGCCAGACTCTCCTGCCCCGTCCAGCTGGGCACATGGCCGGTGGCAGCCGCCGCGGCAGTGCCATGCTGTGCCCACTGGCTACCAGTGGCCACCTGGCCACCACATCGCTGCAGGACCTGTGCAGGAGAGGGTGGGATGACAGGCTGCGACCCCGCACAGGCGGGTGCCAGGTCTCCTTACCCCCAAAGTGTCCCTGGACCAGCAAGTGACAGTGCCAGCAGCAAGATGCCAGCGTTCTCTCTCCAGCCACCGGTGCCACCCCTCAGAGTGGGCATGTGGGGACCCCCAAGGTCCCCACAGGGCACATGGGGACCCCCCACAAGATCTCCCAGGCCCGCAGCTGAGGCAGGAGCATCTTGCCTCCACTAAGAGCCTGTGCAGAAGCAGCAGGAATGGCAGCCAAACCCGCTGTGGGTGCAGAGCATGTGCACAGCAGTGCTGCACACGCGTGTGCATGTGTGTGTGCACACACGGGACAGCCAGACCCTCACCCACCCCACGGGGGGCCCCCCCCCCGCTGTGCACGGCAGGGGAAGTTAGGGTTAGCGCCCTGCCCATGCAGCACCGTGCACAACGGGGGGGGGGGCCCCCGCTGCTCCCATCAGCCCACGGAGCACGAAAGAGGAACCGTGCCCCCCACCCCGCCCTGCCGACAGTGCCCGGGGCTGGTGCCCGGTCCCGGGTGATGTAACCGCCGCCGCCCCATTGCATCACCCGCGGGACCGCGGCCACCGGGCAGGGGCCAAGGCCGGCGGCGGCGGCTGCCCCGGCCCGGGGACTTTGGGACGGATGCAAAGTCCGTGGCGGGGGGCGGGGGGGGGGTTCGGGCCGGTGATGCCGCTGCCCAGCCCGGGGTGGGGGGGGGAGGCTGGGACCGGGCACCGCTGCCCCGACACCCGGCGGGCAGGAACCGCACCCCCCGGCTGCAAAGGGGCGCTGGGACGGGCAGGGCCAGGAGAAATGGGCACGCAGGCAACGACCCCTCGGGCACCGGGATCCCCCCCCCCCCGCACACCGGGAGCCCCTGCGAACACCAGGAATTCCCCGTGTACCGGGACCCCCCCCCGGGTTCCGGGGCTGCCTGCGGGCGCCGGGACCCTCCGAGCACCGGGACCCCCCCCCTCCCAGCTCCGAGGCTCACCCTGCCCAGGCGGAGCGGCCACATCGCGGTCCGCGCTGCAGGCGGGTCCCGATTCCTGCCCCGGCCCCGTTCCCGGTCCCTGCCCAGCCCCGCCCCGCCGCGCGAGCGCGTCCGGGGAGGGGCGGGGCCAAGGGGGCTGCTGGCACCGCGGAGCCCGACGGGAAACTGGAGGTCCCGCCCCCCCGCCCGCCATCCCCGCCCCTTTCCCCGCCCCCCCGCACTCCCGCCCCGCCCCCCCGCCCCCCCATCCCTCCCTCCTGCCTCTTCTCCCCGCGCCCCGACCCCTCCCCGCCCCCCACGCCTTGCCCCCCACCCCTCCCTCCAGCCCGCGGGCAGTGGGCGGGTACGGTGGGTTCCGCCGTGGGGGTACGGGACCAGCACACTCCACCACTTTTCCTTTTTTTTTTTTTTTTTTTTTTCCAATGTTTTTATTTTCCACTTTTTTTACATTTTTATTTTCTTAAAAAAATATGAAGAAGTCCCTGCCCAGAGCCGGGGTGAGGGTAGCCCCCAGCAAGGGTCCTGCCGGCTCGGGGACAGGGACCCCCAGGTCCCTGCCCCTGGCATGACACTTCTTCACGGCATGGCGGTGGGGGGCAGGCAGCAGCCGGGGGGGCTGCAAATCTGGGTGAGGGGCGGCGAATCTGGGCAGGGTCCTCCCCAGCGTGGGGGGGGGGGTGGGGGTGCTCCGTGGGGCACCAGGGGCTTGCTTTGGTGCCTCAACGCTGCCGCAGCCTGGGAGGGGCCGGGGGGGGGGGGGGCCGGGGGGGAAGGCTCCAAAATACCTGGACAGGTGCCCTCGCACATGCACAGACTGGTATGTGCACATGTGTCCACACACACATGCACGCACACCTCCCACGGCTGCAGAAAGACAAAAGCCCCCCCCCCCCAGCGAACAGGGTGAAGCTGGGGGTCCTCCCACCACTGTGACTGGCCAGCACACGGCAACCCCCCCCACACCTTTACTGCTGCACCTGCGCCCACCCCGGCAGTGACACGTGCCCAGCCAATGCCATCGCGTTCGGCAGCACCCACCGACTCACCCATGCACTCCTGGGGACCCCAGCCCAGCCCCTGGAGTGGGGTGGGGGGCCGGGGTCTGCACCTGCACCCCCTGCCCAGCTGCAAGTGAGCTGTTGGGACCGGGCCCCCCGGTGCTGGCTGTGCCCCGGGCAGGCTGTCCCTGGCCCAGGGAGGTGCTGCAGTGATGAAGGGGGGCTGGTGCAGGGGTGATGGGGGGCACTGTGGAGCCAGGACAGGCTGCAGGAGCCCCCAGCCCCGCATCTGCCTCTATATCCAGTGCCCACCGCCCCTTCCCACAGCCATCAGCCAAAGTAGGGGTTGTCGTGCTGGAAGTTGTAGTCAGGGCAGACCTTCTGGACCAGCTTGTAGTCGATGCTGAGGAAGGAGATGAAGATGCAAATGACCTTGAAGGGCTTAGCGCAGAGCCAGGCGGCATGGCTCTGCGTGTGCTCGGTGAAGCACACCTTGGAGGGGTCGTACAGGCAGGGCTTGTTTTTCCGCGCTCGGTTGGTCTTCTCATACTCCACGTGGCAGTTGAGGGCCTTGGCCGGGCGCCCCTCAGGCAGGGTGCTCTGCTGGGGGGGTGGGCGAGGGAGTGGTGGAGGGGCTGGCACCAGCACCTCAAAGCCCACTGCCTTGGAGGGGGGCACAATACTGACCGAGACGTTGCCGAGGCTGGAGGAGTTGTGGCGAAAGTAGACGCTGAAGGTCCCATTGATGTGGTCAACGATCTTCCCGGTCACCAGCAGGCTGAACTTCAGTGTCTTGATGTTGAAGTAGAAGTCGCCCCAGCCGAAGATCTTCTTGGTGCGGCCGGACTTGAGTGAGGGCTTGCGCCGGGCACGGGGGCTCGGCAGCTCCCCGGCTGTCTGGTTCTTCTGCCAGTCCCAGGGGCTCCGCACAGCGCCCGAGGGTGTCCCCACACCCCGGGGGGGCTCAGCTGGAATCAGCCGCCCTGGGTTGAGCACCGGGGGCTTCAGGGAGCCGTATGGGACATCCTTGAGGAGGCCAGAGGTGCCCAGTTCCAGGTACCCCAGGGTCTTGGTGATATGGCCCCCAGCACACACGGTCTGCGGGGAAAGAAGGCAGAGACTGCATGAGCTTTGCCTGCCAACCCTGGCTCATCCTCCTGCCTGTCCCCATGCACCCTTCTGTGTCCATGTACCCCTCCTGCACACCTGCATCCCTTCTGTGGCCAGGTACCCTTTGGCACTGTGCCCCCCCACCATCCACTGTGCCCCCAGCCATGCCCAGAGCCGAGCATAGCTGCACCCTACCCATGCCACCTCCAACCCCTGCTCAGCCCCGCACAGGCCTGTCCCAGGAGTCAGGACTCCTTCTCCCAGCACCATCCATGTCCCTGTGACAGGAAGAATCAGGACACCGGACAATTCATGACTGCCTGCCCCACCACCACTGAGGCCTATTAAAATGCATGGGGGTGGCGGGTAGCAGCATGTACCGAGATGGGGCGGCATCAGAGCCCTGTGCCGCCTGCCAGGGAAGCCTAATTGCATTACCCAGAGCCTCTGATCTGAAGCTGAAATTACAGAGACCCCCGCCAGGCTGCATGGCAGCTGCTCCGCCCTCCAGGATAATTGCACCAGGCTAAAGAGTGGGGTGCATTGTGTGCAGAGGGGGGGGCACACAAGGAATGAGCCGGGACCCCTTGCTCTGCTGGGGGGATGGAGGCTGGGGTCACTTTCTGCATTCTGACAAGGGAGGGAATTTGCAGCAAAAGCAGAAAAGATGGGCAGCGGCAGGGAGGAAAACACCAGACAGCTCCAAGGTCCCTACACTGGCACTGGGACACCCCCTCATCCAACACAGAGCCGGGTGCCCTTGGCAAGGGCTCTCACAGGGTGAGGGGAGGCAGCTCCTCTCCTGGTGGGGTAAATCAAGGCAGGGACCTGCAGTGGTTTCTCCAATCTGAGTGAGCTGTGACCCTGGTTAAGGAGATGCGGGTGGGCACTGGCACACCAGGACCCTCTGGAGATGCAGCCGGTGCTGTGCTATCGGGCAGCAGCTCCCAGCCACACCAGTCGAGAAAGGGACCCCATGCACCGCGGGGGCTGGGACCCACCTCCCGCCAGGCACCAGCTGGGACAGGACCACAGTGTCCCCTTCCTCACCTTCGCCAAGGCTCTGCCTGTCCGGCTGCTGGGACTGACATTGCAGGGCTCAGCAGCGCTAAGCAGAGCCAGCTGGCACCACTTCAGCCCTGGGACCCTGTCTCTGACGTGTCCCACGTCCCTCCCTTGCCTGAGCCTGCCTGCCCCTCTGCTTCTCCATCCCTCAGCCTGCCTGCTCCTGGCTCTGCACCCCGGTGCCCGGTGTGCCCCTGCCTGCCCTGCCAGCTGCTCCCGGCGTGCAGGATGCTGCTCCGTCAGCCCCGGCCTCGTCAATCACTGTCGCCTGTGAGCTGGCGGGTGCTCGGGCTGCTCTGGCAGTTTTTGCTCTGGACAACCTGTTTCCCGGGGGGGGGACGCAGGGAGGAGGGGAGCGTGGAAGGAGAACAGAGAGCAGAAGCGCCAGCTGGAAGGGCCGGGGGGGAGTGTGGGGGGCTGTGCTCCCATAGGAAACTGAGGCATGCCTCAGTGCTGAATCCAAGCCAGTGAGGCTGGAGGCAGAGCAGAGGCGCTGGGGATGGCTCCTGCCTGCCACGGCTGGGGTCTCATCCTGGCACCAGCCACCCTGCAGCACTGTCAGAATAGCTCAATGCTGTTTCCCTCTCGGAACGCAGTGTGCTCTTCTCATGACCTCCATCAGAGAAGGGTGAGCCCCCTGAGCTCTCTCCTCCGCAGCCAGGCAGGTCTGTGTGTGGGGGCCAGTCTCTGCTGGGCACCCACCAGGGATGAAGCAGCACCATGGAGGGTTGCTCCAGCTACGAGCCACCACACTTGCCCCATTCGTCTCCGGCTGCTGAGCTGGAGTCTCCGGCCAGGCTGCGCACTGCTGTCTCTGGGATCTATTGCCTTATCCCCCTACTGCTGCATGTGCCGGGTTGAGCCCGTAAATCTGCTCTGGCATGTGCTCACTCTCACCCGTGCCGCACCGGCAGAGGAGGCAGAGGAGGCAGAGGAGATGGCCCGGGCAGAGGAGGCAGCCACAGAGCTCTGTCTCTGCCCGCAGAACTGGCCACTCCGGGGGACTGGCCGGTCTGAGCAGGACTGCCTGTCCCTCGGTCCGTGGGCAGGGGGAGGAGGATTTGTGGGGTCTCATTCCAGCCCAGGGAGAGGGGACAAAGGGCTGTGCAGTGTGAAGCTGCAGCTGAGCACCCCCGCAGACCCTTGCTCTGGTCTGGCCGTCCCCTAGCTCCCTCCCCAATCTCTCTTTGAGCACGGCTGCTGTCTTCGCCCTTATCTATATTTCAACGCAGCTTCAAAGCCGGGTGCCTTCACCAGCCAGAGAGAGAGGGAGTGAGCGAGGCAGGACCGTGAGATGGAGAGATAAATGGGGGAGGGGGAGAAGGGCAGCCCCCCAGCACCCTCCTCTGGCCAGGAGAGCAGCATTTTGCGGGGGGTGTGGGGTGGATGGTGGCCCCAGCGAGACCCCCACTCGCCCTTCGCCCCAGCTACCCTCCATCATTAATCCGTCTCATACAGATTCATCAGCCAGGGACCCCCCCATGTCCCACCGCGGGGAGGCAGTGGGCCTCCCTCACCACGAGATGAGCAAGGCAGGCAAGGGGCACTGGAAGGAGACCCCCCCAAACCTGCCTACACCCAGAGGACATGGAGCAGCACAGAGACTGCAGCCCACTGGGGAACACATGCACATGAGCACACACTGCCCAAGCCCCCACCAGCCTAAGAAAGGTTTCTGGAGGTTTCTCAGCTCTGCGCTGGCTTTTTATCGCAGCTAGGGCTGAGAGCCAGGACGACTGGTTTCCCCCAGCAGTGCTATGTGAGCACTCTGCCTCAGTGTCCCTTTCCAGTTCGCCCCATCCTTCCATGATCCCCTGCTAGCGGTAAGGGGGTTGCAGGGGAGACGGGGTTGCAATGAGGATGGGGATGCAACGGCAACAGGGCTTCGATGGAGACAGAGCTGGAGTGTGGACAGGGACAGGCAAGCAGTGGAGAGGGGAATGCGGTGGGCAACAGTGGGGACAGGCACGTACTGGGGAAGGAGTTGCTGACACCAGCTCCCTGCATTACTGGGGGCTGTGGGTCCCCAGGACAGGCTTGTGCAGGAGGATGGGGCAGGATGGGGCCAGGGGATGTGGGGCACAGGCAGGGCAGGGCACTCCCGGGGGGCAAGAGGCCCCATTTCCTCTGGGGAGAGAGGTGCCCCATAGCCCCTCAGGGTGAGGCACCATGCTGTCAGCTTTCCACCCACCCCCAGGTCCCTCCCCAGGAGCTGCTGGGGGAGCGGGGGATGAAAGGGAATTGCAGAGCAGGGCAGCGACTGCCGATGCAGCCAGGGCTATCGATTGCGTCGTGCGCACAATCCCGGGCTGTGGGCAGCACAGGGGGAGACCCTCACCACCGGCAGCCCCGCTGCAGCCCCCGTAGGATGGCTTCCCCTGGCTGGTCAGGGGTCTTGGAGCCTATGGGCAAGGGGGCATGGTAGAGTGGGGCCACAGCAAGCCTCTTCCACAACAGCGCTGAGGGGAGCCAAGGTCACCCCCGTGCACCCTGCCAGCGCTGTCAACATTCAGGGCAGGTCCCACTCACACCTTGTGTTAAATATTAATGTTTCTGCTTGTGAGTGGTGGGGTGCAGCATGCACGCGCGTGCACATCTCGCACGCTTCACAGGCGCACATGGGGGTCCCAGTGCCTCTTGGCCCTGCATGGGTGTGTGTGCAGAGTCCCCTCCCTCCATGGCTACACCAGGATCTGTCCCCTGTGCCAGAGGAGGGCCATGCCTGGCTCCACCGTGTGCTGGGATCCACTGCGTGCTGGGCTCCAGCTGTGATGCACCATTCATGTGTGTTTGTCTGGTACGCTTGTTTTTTACTGTTACACATGCATGCGCTGCTGCATCTAAGCATTACTCCAAGACAACGATATATGCTTTTGCTGCTCTCAAGCCCCTTGTGCACTTTTTCTTGTGTGGGGGGGCTGTGCAGGGCTGCCGTGCATCTGCAGGCACCCGTGTGTCACTCCGCATGTGCACAAGCAGCCGGGCAAGGATGCAGGAAGGGCTGGGGGTGGCTGTGGAGGGACTGGGAAGGCTCTCGGTGCCGGCATCAATTTGGCTTGTCATGACCAGCAGTGATGGCCACTCACATCCCATTTGCTGGCAGGGCCAAGTGCCGTCAGCTGTTCCCCCGAGACCCACGGTCACCTTGGCGGAGGTGAGCGGATCAGCGCAGGGAGGGGCAGGGTGGACCAGCTGCCCCAGTGCAGGCTGTGACGAGCTCCCAGCAGCCTGAGAACAGGGCCCTGACTGATGGGGCACCATCTCGAGGCAAAACAGCCCCTGCCTGCACCAGGAGCAGAGCACCCGCAGCAATCCTCACCAAAAGCCCTGTCCCTACAGCCAGCCTGTCCCCTGCCCCTGGCTCCGAGCTGTCCCCCTGCCTTGGTGGGGGTTGGTGGCAGAGCAGGCGTTGATCTGCTGATCGGGGTCTCCAGCTCTCCCCATGGGTGCAGGGTCAAGCTGGTCTCTCCCCTGTCGCCCCTCTGCCTTCGTTAGTGCAAGGAGATTAATTGGAGGTGGTGAGCGACAATCCCTGTGGGCCCGCTCCCCCCGGCGCAGCGCAGCCCGGGGCGGTGTGGCATTTCCAAAGGTTAGCAGCAAACAAGGTGCCTCTGACAGCTCCCATTTATCTCGCTGGCGCTGTGCGGGTGCTAATGCGGTGGCAGGGTGACGCGGTGCAGCAGTGGGCTCTGCTGGGCTGCGGGGAGGGACCCAAGCACGCGCCTGAGCATGCTGAGGCGTGCAATACACATCTGAACAACTGCATGTGGGCGAGTGTGCACAGTGAGCTCTGAGTGTCCGTGCTCCCATGTCTGTGTGCACGCCCGCGGGTGCCAGCAGGTGAGTGCCAAGACCGCCTGGTGCCTGCCCAGCCCCGTGTGCGCCTGCAGCAAGCGTGCAGGTGAACACAACAAATGCCTGTG